AAAGGGGCCAATATTTAAATCCGTTGTAACAAGAAATCCGCTGTGGCGAGGTCCGCTGTGACGAGGTTTGACTGTATATAATTTTTTTTATCAAGATCTACCAATTAAAATGATTAAATTAAATCAACTAAAACCACGTGAGCGACCAAATCACTTTTGAAAAATGATTTGGGAATACCTTATTAATTCAACAAGAGCAGAATTAATGGCAATTATGACTGCTCTTATAACTCTTCCACGGTACTCCTTTATGTCAATTTATACAGACAATCAATCACCTACTCAACTGCTTGACAATAACACCCAACACGTAATCAAAAATATTACTTTATTCCTTGTGGATCAAATTTGCTGCGAACTTTGCTACTAATTAACAATATATTTTTTTCAATTATTTTTTTTATATAGATCCAAAAGTTATGATTTAAAAAAGTTTTCTTTTGAAATTTTTTTTGACTCGGTTGATAATCAATAAAATAATAATAATGATAATAATAATAATAATAATATAATAATAATAATATAATAATAATAATAATAATATAATAATAATAATAATATATTAATAATACTAACATATTAATAATACCAACATATTAATAATACCAACATATTAATAATACCAATATATTAATAACACTAACATATTAATAACACTAACATATTAATAATACTAACATAATACTAACATATTAATAATACTAACAGACGATTGATTTGTCATCCATCATATTAATATATTAATATGTAAAAAAAAATTTCCGACCCGTGTAACTACTACTAGACGGTTTTTACAAATTAAAATGTTGGTTTTTGTTGCCAATTAATAACTTCCTTTGCATAATCGTTATTATTATTATACTTTATCATACGGAATGAGGTTTTCTGAAAAGTGTTTGGGGCGTTTCTACAACGTAACACAGGCATTTACATTGATATGTACCAAATGTAATTTTTGTACCATATATTCATCACACTTTTTGGGACTAAAAAATAAATTTTCTTGCATAAGGGTATCAGAAATGTTACAAACAATTATTTCCTAATTTAAAAATAAAATGTCATCGTCTAGATCAAGATTACTGAAAAAAGAATTATTTCTCCTCGACTTTTTTTTTAAAGTTCTAAAATCTAAAATAGGAATGTAATTGACGCACGATATCAATTGACCAATGATATATTGATACTAAGGCTTTTGGAAAATCGTTCTATTCGTGAAAATATCAGAGGTTTTTAATCAGTAGACATTTGTAGAGCAGTGCTATGAAGAGAGTATGTTTGTTTCTCGGGAGTTGCAATAGATAAAAGTATTACAATAAAGAAACAATTTTGTTTATAGATGAGTTTTTTTACACCATTGGTATTTTTACAGCCATTAAAGCTTTCCGTAACTCTAAACTATAATTTATATACTATTTTTCATGCAAATTTGATACCCATATATTTGAAAATGGAAGAGGAATAATAGTAGTGGTTTGAAAACAGTTTACGTAAATTTTGGAAATTTCGCAAGTGGTACAGTCGGAACTCGTTAAACCGATGTATTTTGTTATGGGCTCAAAGCATCGTTTTATCAAGTAGTCTTTGATAAAGTGAAGTTAATATATTTTTTCATCTATACTACGTTGACGTTCTAATGAACTTTTATATAATAAAATGCTACCTCCTAACAAATTTTTAAAACGAGCATATAGAAATATCTTTATTCATTCGATTGTTTAGAACATTTGATATTATTTCTCTTTTTTCTTTAATATTGGTATATTTTCCATTTTAATATGTCGTACCACATTTATAAAAATTATACACAATAATAAAGCGAAGTTTCTTTCGATGAATCGATATTATTCGTCTTATCGAGTTGTATTTAATATATGTGGAACCATATGCAAACACCCGTCTTAAACATTTAAGTAAAACAATAAGTAATAGAATATTCGTACATATGTACTGAAAACCTAATCCTATTTAATAAAAGAGGCTTATGGATCATTAGGTCTGGCCTCCATATCCATTCAAGGTGGCAGGTCACAGTTTTGGGTAGTGTGTCACACCACCATCCATGACTGAATCAATCATTGTACGATTAACCCATTCCAAGAATGGCATGATCATGACAAAATGTTTGGTCAGACCTCTCACTCCAAAAAAAAAAGTAATAATAGAATCTTCGTCTTATTATTAATAAATGAATAGGGAAACTTCGATATAACAAAAATTCATTTATTGAATCTGTCCAGGATAATCCATTGGTGCTACAAGTATAACTTTTTCAAGATAAGCTTTCATTCAACTCTGGAACATTAAATATATTTTTCACAATATTGTTTGTACCTTTCTCCTCTTATCTTTACATTCACTGCTAGAAGGTGTTTGATATGAGTTTTGTTTGACATCCATTTTTGTAAGGTGAGTTGCTTAAATGTAGCTATATATTAAATTATATATCAAATAAGTATGTAAAATTTCTAATTGCAAAAAAAGATTTTTATATATTACTTCACCTTTTACTGAATTACTTTGGCAGTCTATAAAATAGAAGGTGGTGGAGAAATCAGAATATATTGTTGTACAATTGATTTTTGGTGGGATACAAATCAGATGACGAGTCAGTTTGTAATTAATACCGATCATTTCTTAAAATTGAATACCCGCCGCTATGTTGATTTGATTTTCGAACACTCAAGTCAGTTAAACAAAGAAATTTACATGAAGTTTACACTGCCTACAATAAGGGTGCAAACGTATTGCCGAGTTGTAACCTATTGTCACGACACCTATATGACGTGAAAAGGTTGTAACCCTTGCAGCTAAATGCCGAATTGCCGTATTGCCGTATTTTGTGCCGTATGCCGTATGTGTCATATGTTTTGCCGTATGAAAACATAACCACCGTATGCCATACGTTATGCCATGTGCCATATGTTGTGCCATATGCAAACGTAAATGCTGCTGTGCCATATGCCATACTTTATGCCAATATGCTGTATGAAAATAATTTTTTATTTTTCATATAGAAATCTTATTAATTATCTGTATTATTATCATCATTTTCTAAAAAAGTATTTATTAATAATTCAGGATCATAGTCCAAATTATAAGAACTATTTATATTAGTATCATTTTCATTTACTTCATTATTATTATTAAAAAAAATCAAAATCAATAATGTCTCAAATTATTAAGGTGTTTCTTGTCTGAATTGAATTATCATTTGAATTAACATTATTTAAATAATCATTTTCTGATTCTTAACTCATTAAAGTACCAACTGATGAATCATTTGCTACATTTCTTAATTCATTGCTAGTTGATGTTTTTATTTGTTTTTCGTTTTTTATAGGCGAACAAGGAGGTTGGGGAGGAGGACTTTCATAAAGGGTATGTTCATTATTCTCTGCATCAGAAGTTACATTGATAATGGTAGTCAAATTTTGTACTTGTTCATTCGTTGATAAAATAATGTTCAAATTAATTTATCAATATTAATAAATGATGATGATGATATTATGATGATTCTTTATTATTGCAAAAGTATATATATAATGAAATAAACATTGAATGATTAATCATCAAAAACAATGTTTTTTATTATCTGAGAAGTTTTGAGTCATATAGACTTGGGATATTTTATTCTTAAAAACCGGTTGATAAATTTTTTAGATGTGACATAAGCTAGGGTTACGGCATTTGACACATGATACAGCATTTGGCACATGATACGGATATGGAAAGTAACGCGTTGCCGTGTTTATGCTGTACTGATGACATAACCCTCAAGTGTTCATATGTTTGCACCCTTAATCTACAACATATGCGGATGTCCACCAGCAAAATAGCATTGGTTACACGTATGTTTTTGATATGTAAATACAGTCAACCTTGTTTCAACGAATTTTATATATAAATCGTGTTACAACGATAACGAATTTTTGGTAGGGATCTTGGAATATAAACGTTTCAACGAATTCACGTGACAATAGATCAACATGTAAATGATAAAAAATTAAATCATACAAATTATAAAAAATTAAACATGCGATTTTTAAAAAAACATGTATTCTAATAAATCATGTAATTATTTTAACTTAAAGATGTAATAAAATGTACGTTTACTTTTGTGATTTTATCAAAGATGTATATAGAAACTTATGATTTATTTTTATTTAAGATGTTATAATAAAACTATAAAACTTGTGATTATTTAAAAAAAACATGTACAATTATAATACTGAAAGGTGTGAATGTTTAATTGAAGAGTTATCAAATCAAGAAAGAATTGTTATTGAAAATTTAATCAATGAATTATCATTTACCTCTTCATTAGAAGCAGAAGAATATATTACAATTGATAATGAAGGAATAAGTAATAGTAGTGAAATGATAACTGACGAAGAAATTATTGCTTTTTTCAAGCCCATCGAAGAGGAAGTTGCCATTAAAAGTAATACAGCGTCTAATGTTTCAATAAAATATGCTGTAAATGCCCTTGAGACTGTTTACAATTTTCTACAACAAGGTGATATATAACATATTTCAATAAATAATGAATTAATTATTATATATTTTCTAATTATATTTTATTTTATTTGTATAATTTATTAATATTATCATTTATTATTATTATTATGAAAACTCTTTTCTGACGATTATTACACTTTTGTTTCAGCGAATTTTTGTAACAACGAATTTAGTGACTGGTCCTATGTATTCGTTGGAACGAGGGTAGACTGTATTTCAAGCCTTGTAATCTCATTATTGTATTAGGTAGACAGGATCTAAATTTTCATCAACTATAATCTTTATGATATAAACACACATTATCCAAAAACTGAAATGTACAAATGCAATGTGGCAGATCTTGATAGACCTGAAAATTATAAATGGGATAGATATCCCATTACTATTGGTCATTGCTAATGTCGATAGAATAATTTGCATGATTTTAATTTAATTGGTTTTTTTCGTTTATGAGAAGGAGGAAAAGAGTCCGAGGAAAACACCGACAAATGAATAAAATTAGTAGATATAAATTTAAAAGGTGTAATTGGACAGTGGTCCCAGTTTTTTAAAATAAATAAAAAACAAATTATTGTTTACTATTATTACTTTTAAATAAATAGTGACTCCATTGACAAGAATATTTGCAATCTAATAAAGGCCAAAGATATAAGATATCTAGCAAGACTCTCGTCTGTGTCGAGGCAGGAATTATAAGTAGTCACATGATACTGCTACAGAACAAACCTGATAATTCCTCTCATGACATTCAAACTCGTGGAAATTTCTAATGTTTATGAAATCCATGTTTTGCCAAGTAGATTACAAAGAATTGTAAAAATAATAACAATAAGAATAAGAATAAGAATAAGAATAAGAATAAGAATAAAAATAAGAATAAGAATAAGAATAAGAATAAGAGATTGTAACCAGTCAAAAAAATTAAACCGGTTAATTACTGGTTAAATATATAAAATATATTTTTTTTAAAAAAAGTTAATTATTTGATGATTTATTAAGTTCTTTTAAATAACAAACAATACTTATATGAATTAACTGTTATATTATCTTTCAATAAACTATAATAATAATAATAATAGTTAATAAACACTAAAGCAAATATAACTATGATGACAATTTACTAAATTACAATTCCTCAAAGGTTTCAATAGGTAGTAAATCAATTTAGTTGTACCAATTTTTACTCTCCATTCTCTTGCATTTAGCCGGTGGCTTCATTTCACCCACTCAAACAAAAGATTTACAATTAAAGTGAGACGTTTTGTCATTTTAAATTTCTATAATTAAAAACCGATTTAGGAATGATATCGATCCTTTCTACAAGTTGCGATTAAATTTTATCAAATAGATCACAAGAATTGATAGATTTATTATCTGGTAAACTATAGGATTCGTCGCCGAAATTGGTAATAAAGTTGTAGATGTATGATATACATGAATGAAGGTAAAAATAATAACAATAAGAACAAATATAATAGGAACGGCTTGTTACACGTTCGGTTTATTTAAAATATACATGCGTTATTTTGCATAAAGAAATTTCCAAATTTACTATATTTCACCTTATCATGGATTACATGTTACACGTAAATATTCTATATACATATATTAATATTTATTATTATACTCGACTGGGTTTAAAACGACTATTCCGAAATTATGTAATGAGCAGGCCCTGCCTCTCACAAATTACATCAGGTATTTTTTAAACTCGAACAGTGCATAAAACAGTTACCCCTGGATTATGTAAACGCCAAGGCGTATGTAGCTAACTAATATATATTATTATTATATATAAATAAAATAGTATGGTGACACAAAATATTTAATTGCTTCTTAAAATTGACAAAAACTGATTCTTTCCATGTGTATTTTAAATATTTATCGAAATAAATATGGCACAAAAATAAATAGATTATTGATATATCTAGTTTAATAACAATAGTTATTGGCTTTTCTTTCTTTCTTATATTTCTTTGTTATTATTATTACCGAGACAAAAATAAATAATCCAAATATTTTTCATGGAATCATAATGTAAATAGACATTCAAGGGCCCAAATAGAAAACTCGAATGATAATAACAATAAAATAAACTTTCTTTCTTTTTTCGAAAGTAATGATTCCATGCAAATATTCCACTTTAGAAACTGAAATGATTCATTCATTAAACGCGCGGTCTCGTTAACTCTCCGAGTTTTTACTCGCTAATCATTGATTAATAGTATGTATATTCACATATGTACACATATGTACACGCACACGCTTAAAAATTTTATGCAAATGATTTCTGTTTATTTATTTTTAATTTGTTTGTTATTTTAAAAACATTGATTTACTAACTTGGCAAAATGTTTCGGGTTTATTTATTGAAAATTCCTTATAAAACCTTTTTTTTTTTTCATGTTTCAGAATTTTAAGAAATTTTTTAGTAATTAATATTTATAAAATGGGAAATTGTTGCTGTTCAAATAATTGTGATGATGTTAACATACCATTATCATCCACTACACCTACTAACCAAAATAATACAATAAACACAGCAAATTCTGATGATCTGATTGAATTTATATTATCTAACAATAATGACGAGTACCCATTGCCTAATGATAAAAGGTTGAATGAGATTGACCCATTGGAATTGCCGCATTATTTAAATCGACAAATATGGAATGCCAATTTTACATCTCCAATACACATGTCTTTGTCCAATAAAAGATTTCATGTTTTAGATTTTGGGTAAGTTTACTTTTTATTTTATTATTTTCCGGATTAAAATTTTCAGGTTCTTTCCAACAATGATTTTAATTCACTCTTTCTAATAACGATAATTCAGCTGCGGAAAAGGAACTTGGATACTAGACATGGCGACAAAGTATCCAAATTCAAATTTCATAGGAATTGACAAATCGCTAATTTATCCACCACGAGACCGTATAAAACAAATGAACGTGACATTCTTATATTTAAAGTCTTTAGAGGACAAATTGACATTTGATAAAAACGCTTTTCATTTCGTACATTTGAGATATTTGAATTTAGATTTACCTAAAGCGAATTGGACAATTTTAATAAATAAACTTTTAAAGGTTTTGAAAAAACCTAGTGATGGTGACGATGGTTATATTGAGATTTGTGAATGGGATTTAGTAACTTTTAATAGTGGACCTGTTACCAAAACATTATTTAAATTTGGTAATTATATATATTACTTAATATGGGAAAAATATAAATTTTTTCTAACAAAATTCTTTCTTTTAGTCCGATTATATTTGAGATCAATAGGTATTGAGCCAATTATAGGCGAAACACTTGAACAGTTATTAAAAGAAAAAACAGACCATCTAACAGATATAACAGTCCAAAAAAAATATTTTCCAATTGGTAGTTGGCCAAGAGTTAAAGCAAGAAGGCGACAACCGTCCTTCTCAATAAATTTTGATAGCAACAACAACAGCAACAGCGTCATTAGTACTACTAGTAGTAGTAGCAGTGGCAGTAATAGCTATATTAATATTAAATTACAGAGATTAAAAAGAATTGGTAGTTTAAAATTGAAAGAATTATTGAAATTATTAAATAATCTCAAACCACATTTATTAAATTGTATGGGAATAAATGATAAAGAATTTGATGACATGATAAAAAGTTTTATTAAAGAAGTTGATATTCATAAAACTTTTGGTCAAGAAATTAGAATTTATGCTAGGAAAACCTAAATAAGAACATTTTTTTGTAAAAAAATTTAGATTTATGATATATATATATATGTATTTAATAAAATAATATTTTTTTTGAATTTAAATATTTAAATAAATAACTTCAAATATTTTCGAACCATTGGTGGATGGATAGCCTTGCTTTCAAAATGCTAGAATGTGTTTCCTATATTAAAAAAAATTCAGAACCGCAAGTTTTAAAACCAAGGTCATTAGTATTCTAATATTTATTAATGTGTCAGACAAATAAAATCTTTGAAATACAGAATTTTTCAATATAAATATTACTTTTAAAGAAAGATTATAACAAAAAACAAGGTGCTGGTAAAATGATATTAATATTAATATTAATATTAATATTGATTGGTTTACCACGCAAAACCCCCGAGAGTCTATTATTTATGGCCAACTGATTTCCTTTTTTAATTAATAAATTGCAAATCTAGTTTAATGATCGCTATTGCGCCAACCACGGCAAGGTTTTAATATTTAAGTTTGAAATAAAAAATCACAATCACATTATATTGGTGATTTTCAATTTAGAATCCTAAAGTTTTGTTTCTAGCTTTATTGCAGTCCACCTCATGTAATAACCGGCAGCAAAAAATCAATCAATTAATGATCTAGATTTTTAATAAGTTCATTGATTTTGTATTTAAATCAAATAAACATTAGCCAATATATATAATATCAATATCAATATTAATAATAATTTCAAATAATAATTTTTCTTAATATAATACTAAAATATTAATGTCAATATTAATGAATATGCCATCACATACATGTAATTATTTTTGTTAAATATATAACTTATAATTTATCAATTAATTAGTCAACCTCTTGAGATCTGACACGAGCTTTAGAATTGGTAACCCTAATATTCAATTGTTGAGCTCTCTCGATAATTGAAATTCTTTTTCTAGAGCTGACTTTTGATGCAATTTCAGCTGCAAATGTTTTATTGTGCATAAGCAATAATTCCAATTCTTTAACGTTATATACTAAGAATTTCTTAAATCCATTTGGCATTAAATGTCGAGTTTTTTTATTCGATCCGTAACCAATTTTTGGCATTGGAATCTGCCCTTTAAATCTTCGCCTAACACGATTGTCAATACCTTTTGGTTTTCTCCACGCTACCTATCAACAAATAGATTTTTTTGTGTTAGGATCAAGAAAAATATATATATGTACATTATAATATTAGGAAAAAAAAAGAATTGTTAATTTATTAATTAATTACCTTTACAGATTTATATCTATCTGATTGATGCCTTATAAAAGGTTTAATACGTTTTTTGACAATCTTTACTTTCTTTATAGGATTAACCATTTTTTTATATTTTTACTGAACAACTATTATCACCACCACACAAGAAAAATAATTAATGTTAATCATTAATAGACAGGACAATAGATTAAGTAATTAATAAACGAAATGGATTTATCATTAAATAAATTGTTCACCTATTTATTTCTAAAAAGATGGATTTTTTTTAAAAACGTTCGTGCAACAGTAAAGATAACCAAAATTGTGTAAATCTCTCTAAATCTGACAACTTATTGATTGTAGGATCGTGTCCAAGACACGAATGATAATAACAACGATAATTTATGCTAAAGTGTAATAATAATATATAATTTTTCGATAATATGGATTCTATCTAGCTAAACGAGATCTTGCTAAACAGAACCTCGCTAACCTCTCCTCGCCCAAAGAAAAAGAAGAGAAATAAAATAATCAAAATAAAATAATATGCATGATTATTTCGTCATCAGCGAAAGAGTCTCTTTATTATACTATTAAATTATTATACTGATCAATAAATGAAAGACAAGACAAGGACAAGGACAATTTTTTTATTATGTTAATCAGGTATAAAATTACAAGAAGATAAATACATGATAGATACGAAGCCAAGAAAATTAAAACATTATTTATATGTTCTAGGGGTTCAATCATCTATATAGTTCCCTTATTTCAGGGAACTCTTGATGATGTGGTCTCTTGTTCTAATCTCTTTTAAATAGAATTTTACGAATTTATAATGTGAGATAATTAATTCATTGGTTCATTAAATTGATTGAAATGTATTTCTGATTTCCGTCAGTATAACTTGTAAATCTTTCTGTGATTTATAAATCACACTAACCCTCCCAATTAAGTATAAGAGCTCTGTTTAGTGGTTTTGGATTGGTCTTTGACTTTATGTACTCATTCTTCTGATCAGGAAATAGATCGGCAAGGCTTTCTAAGGAATGGAGAGTCCCAATGGTTTATAGTTATTATAAATAACAAACATTTTCACTTTATAAAGCATTAGATGGACCTGAAGATTGAAGTACAGTTTTGATACTATTATTATAATTAAATTTACTTTTCACAAGATTAGAATCATCAATGTAAATATAAATTCCTCGATTTTTTTGAATCTTTTCTTGGTGAATTCAAAGTTGCCAAATATTGCGAGCATCAATAACATCAATTAGTTTATTAATTAGCTTGCCAATGCTAAATTTGCTAACAATTGAAGGAGGTCTAAAAAGACTTATAAATAAAATTATATGTGTTTGCGAGCGTGCATTAGCTAGATTCTCCTCGTTAGCCTTCAGAGTGTGTCACAGCTAACCTCTATTTTCAAAATAAAACAAAAATAAAATATGTACTGCTATATTTCTCAAAGGTGTCCGTCCCTCTGGGTAATATAGTAAGTAAAGGTGGTATGTCCTTGTTGACTTCACTCACATGGTAAAATTAATTCCTAATTCAATAAATGGTTGATAAATTTAATATTAATCAGAGGTTTACAGGAGTATTATCAAGGAAAGTTTTGATAATAAATCTATATTAGATGAAGAGGATGAGAATGGTCATACAGAATGTATACGTAAAGAAAGGTTATGGTTAGAAACGAAAAATAGGAAAAGCACACAAGATGATAGAACACCTACCACTACATTCTATGCTGACGTAAAATTGATTTTTCTAGAAGAATAAAAAATCAGAAGTTACTTAAAAACAATTACTCTTTAATTGATTTGGTTTATTATATTTATTTATTTAACAATAAATGTATTTTTCGAAATAATATAGTTCTTAATATACTGTATTTGATTGAACATGATTATTTGGCAATAAAAGGTATATAAATAAAGGTATCAAGGGTGGAAGGAAGTATAAATATATATTAATAAGGCATGCAACTTTGCGTTTGGTATAGTGCAAGACACCTAGTCCCACAACTTTTCATTGTCCTTGTAGATCCTTCTCTAACTCCAAAAATGGAAATGTA